GGGGGGCGGCGGCAGCAGCGCGCACGTCCGCCCGCCCGCCGGGAAATTCCCCCTGAAAAGGGCGGCCTGCGGGGCGCGGCGGCGCAGCCAGCCAGGGCGGGAGGGAGTCGGGCCCGGCCGGTCTCTCCGAGCCAGCGTCCGTCCGTCCGTCCCTCCGAGGTGTGCGGGGCCCGGGCGGGGAGCCCCACCGCGGCGGCAGTGGGTGGGCCGGAGCGGCTGCGCGGAGCCGTCAGCATGGCCGGTGAGCGGCGGGACGGGGCCTAACGCGGCGGCCGGCGGCGGGTAGCGGTGGTGGCCTGTGTGCGGTACCGGTGGGAGCGCCGGGGACGGCCGGGGGCAGCGGCCCCGCGGGGCACCGGAGAAGCGGGGCCGTTCCCACGGCCCCGGCCCCGGCCCCGGCGCGGTGCGGGCTGCCCAAGCCGAACCGACCCCCCCCCCGGCGCCCTTCCTCCCCGCTTCGTTCGCTTTCGTTATTTCGAAAGAAGCGATGGCTGGTTTGGGGGAAATGCGAAGCGTCGGCTGGTTCTTGTCTTTGTGCCGTGAGGGATGCTGTGCTTCTCCCCTTCCGCCGTCCCCCACCCCGACTGAAGCCCGCAGGCGGGCGGAGGTGGGGGGGGACAGCGCAAAACGGGGGGACAGCAGGCTCCCCCCGTCACCCCTGCGTCTGCCTTCACTGTGAAATCCACGGCCGTGTAGCTCGTGAAGTGGGCTCGTGGAAAAAGTTAGCGAAGACAAATCACGGGGTTGTTCGCGTTAGTTGCGGCAAGGTTTTATAAGGCTGTTTGGTTTCTGAATGGATCTTCTCAATCTTAAAATTGTGCTGCTAAAACATTTAGGCGTTAAGTAAGAACGTGGGTCTCCTATCTGGGCTAGAGGCGTCAATAGGCCAAAGACTCTGTGATGGTCCACAGGATCTGTTCACATAGGAACTTGCCTATGAGAATGGAAATGAATAAGAAATAGAGATGGCATAAACACAAAGTAACGTAGATAAGGGATCATGCATTGACTAATTACAACGAAAAGCACAGTTAAGTTTCTTTAGGCGAAATGAAACCGAACTTGTCATCTTCTCAGTTTGTGTCTCTTTGGTATCTTTCTTAAGACTTAAAAAAACACCAAAAACTTATACTTGGCAGTATTAATTAGAATAGCATTTCTAGAGAAAGGTGTTTTCCAGCCTCAAAACGCAGCTCTGTGTGTTCTGTTACCACTTAGCAAAGTATGAACTTTCACTCCGGCTAAATATGTAGGTGTGCTAACTATCAACAGAGAGAGAAAACAAGTGGATTTGTAGGGAGGCATCTTTTAAATGTTACCTTGTATTTTAGAGTGGCAAAACTGAAGCAGGAGATAGCACTTTTTTCTTTCTTTCTTTCTTCATGTCTTCATATATTTTCAGTGTAATTAGGAACCAGATAAGGAATTTTTCAGTAGGGGAAGTTCATAACTTCCTGGTACTAGTTAGCTTTTGTACTTGGTTTTTTTTTTTTTTTTCTCTTTTGGTTGCTGTTCTGTAACATAATGTAACACAACAGTAAAGAGGAAGTTCACGAGCAGCTATGTTTCTCTGTTAGAATCTGTACAGTTTAAGGAGTCCTAGGTAGACTACAGCGTTCTAAAACAAGAATTTACACTTTCAGTTATCTTAGACTGAGCTAGAATGTGCTATATAACAACTCTTCCACCATCGTCTCTTTTTGCCTGAGGTGTTGCAGAAGGCTATAAGCGTATAGATTGTCTGCTCTTGCTTTTCAGAAATGGCTATTGCTGTGGAGGACGTAGGGTCAGCAGTGATCTGTACAGAGCAGTGACATCAAAGTTGAAGGGCAACACTCCTCCCCTGGGCGTCTCGCTGCAGTCACCTTGGATCACAGGGTTTCGGGTGATACTTTCACGTCTTCCACAAAGACCCACAGCTGCTTTGCTTTCACATGCAGATGTTGCTGGAGAGTCTGTTCACGGGGCGCTCCTAGTTGTGTGAGAAAATGGCAAATTGTGTAGTCCTTCCAGAGCCTTTGAGCAAAGGGACGCGACGAAACATATGAACCCTTGATCCCCTTGTCGCTTTGCTTGGTGGCAGCATGTCAACGCTTCCTCCCTCATGGCACAGGCCACGTTAAACTTTAAACCAGCCCGGGTTTCTCCTCATGGAGAGGTCTGATGGAAATGTTGTTTTGAGTTTTTGGGATTGTCCTTTTGTTCCTTTTTGTATTGCGCAAAACAGATGAGAATAAAACAACCTTCAGTTCTTGAATGAGTATAAGCTGGCTGAACTCCTGGAGCTGTTACTGCTTTTATCTTTTTTTCCTTGTGTATGTAATTGGGATGCTTGTTCTCCTATATTCTCTTTTAAATTATCGAGTGCAGTATTCAGGGCATGGGGGGAATAAACAATTTTATAACAAAAAGAACAAGAGGCAGGTTGTAATATGTAGCGTAATGTTTCTATTGCTAGCTTGTGTATAGGCAATTATAATTAATTACAAATGCAAATTAAACTCTTAACCACTTAGATGAAGGATCAGCTAGATTTTTGCTTTTCTTCCATTTCAAATGGTGTTCCAAGTAGTTGTGGGTAGGTAGATAATATGAGTAGCTGTGCGTTTCTCTTCCAGAATTAGCAAAAGAGAGTTTGTTTTTTGACATAGCTCTTGTTTGTTTGACAAACACAGCAAGACCCGAAGAGGGCAGGTCTTTAGCAACTGTGTGGGAACTAACAGGCCTCTGTGTGCGGGAGTAGATTGTGAAATAGTTAAGCCATGCTACTTCACAAGCACATTGCTGATTTACAGAAATGGGGAACACTGAACAGACCTCCACTTTGCTGCAGCGTGCTGATAATACCTTTAGTTTGCACAAACACTTTTATGTGTTTTCTCTCTACACAAAATGTGATGACACCCATAGTCATTGTAGAGATGATAACGTGATTCTTAAATAGAGTGAGAAAGAACCAAGATAAAATGAAGTTTAATGTTTAATCTCTGGAGGCTACTGCGTCACTGAGCTTTACTTTCCCACAACCACACCTGCTGTTAAGCAGTGGGTTTGCCTTCAATGACATTTGTTTCAACCACAGCCCTGTAAAGATCACCGAGCCCGGAGTTTTAAAATAAAGTGCTCTTAATAGGTGAGAAAAAAGCCCTTTTAAGCAAGTATTAGTAGAGCATGAAGGGAAATTATTGGTTAAAGCAGAGAGAGTTAAAGACTTGAAGTGATTGTGTTGTGTAGTAGTTTCGAACAGCAAGGCTCTAGCTAGTTTTGACAAATACGTAATGTATGTGGGTGTACTGTGCGTCTGGTTAGCAGCTATGTAAGCATGTGCATCTCCAAAGTAAGATGATTAGTAGGCACTTTGCTGCAATTTTGTCATTATAACTTCTAAAATAGATTTTTAATTTACTGTATGGATATGTGCCTGTATTTGCGGCATAGTGTATTACGTAGGAACGGGAAGGTGAGATTCTTTTCTCTCCTCGGTGGCATGATGGAAATGGGAGGCTGACTGACATGCAGCAGTCGCTCCTCACTGCTGGCAGAAATCCTCTGTTGTCTGGTCTGCTGGACTGCGCTGATAAATACAATAGTATAAGTAAACTTGAAGTGTGAAAGTTAAATAGCCATACACTGGTGTTGTGATCTTGGTTTTGTGAGAAGCTCAGACTTCTGCTCTCTCTTTGAAAACAGCTTTATATCATTGCTAGGCTTTTTTTGTTATCAATGCCTGCCCCCCCGCCCCCACTCCCCTTTGCTGGACTTGCTTATTTTCTGGAAAGAGAAAATATGCAAAACTTACCTAAAGGAGGGTTAGGTGACACCTGGGAAGTATCTAGAAAAGGGACCATCCTTGTAAGTAACTGGACCTAGAGTAGTGGCTAATGTGTATTTAATGTGACAGCTTACGGTCTATTTTCAGAAAATTATTTAAAATCTACTTGATGGGAGGTGATCAGTTTAGATATTGCATTTTGATAAATTGTTAGAAGGCAATATAGAAAGTCCTAAACCGTAGTTCTCAAATGTTTGGCGCCAAATACAGTCTGGAGCTGAAATGCATTGTGCCTTTTAAAAGGCATTCAGGTTTTGAAAAGGCACAGGTGTTGCTGAAGACAATTCCAGCATAAGAGCTGCTTTTGCATACTGCCATTCCACAACTGTCTGTATGTGTGTTACAGTTGAAATGTCACCTTGGTCTGACCTGAATGCACATCTTGGAGATGCAGTTCTTTCCATCCCTTCTCTACTTCTCTTAATGACTTTATCTTTTAGGTTATAATATTTTCCTACTTTGAGTATGAACTGCTGCAGCACTGGAAATGTTTTGCAATCAACAAATCCCAGGCATAAAGTTCAAGCTTTGTGTTGGCAGGTATACCAAAATCACTGTAGGTGCAACAAAAGAGAAGCTTTTATTATGGAGTTAAAATTGGAATCCACCTCTTTGCCAAAACTCGTACGCTATGGACTCATAGGCTGTATAGACCTTGGGCAAAAGGAAGTAGGGGATCTTTTACTCTTTTAGCACTTTCAATATATTTAATGACTATTTTGCTTATTATGTTGAAGTCCAAGCACTTTTTTTCAGCGCCGTGCCACAGGATCTTGCCTGTCATGTTTGTTTGTGATGCTCAACCTTGCTTGAGTAGGATGCTATTATATAAAGATGACAGAGAGCTCAGTAGACATTTCCATAAGCTACGTTCTTCTGATCGTGCAGCACCATGATGATTCAACTTCTACAATATTTACTTACCCTCTTGTTATTTGTTTTTCACATGCCATCCCACTGTTGTCACTGTTTGATTGACTATCCTGTTTGATGTTCTCAGTGAGATATATTAAATAGCTTGTTACTGTCTGGCAATAAAACATCATTTGAAAAGTACTTACACTCTTGCTAAGTTAATGTCTTTCTAACTCCCCCATTTAAGAATTCTGCGGTCTCTTGTTCTTGTCTATCACTTGTGTTTCCTGAAAACCTCTTTTTGACAACTGCCCAATAGCTTTTACTGAGGTTTCTTTGTCTGGGGAGATACTGCAACTAGAAGCTGGCCTTGTGGGAGGTGGGCAACTCAAGATATGGAATTCAATACCAGCAATCAGGTATTTTCTGAGCCCATGGTGATGGTATTCAACCCAGTAGGGTTGGTTTTGGTGGGGGTTTTTTTGCATAATTTGCATAGTTTCTGCTTCACTATAAGAGGAACCAAATCAATCAATTCTGAGGAAACATCTTCACTTTCAGAGGACATTTAAGTGAACATAGTACTGACAGTACCTGTGCTTTGAGAGGACAACCGTTCCTAAAAGCATATTAAAATTAAAAACATCAGCCATTCCTGCAAAATAATGATTTGTTTTCTGCTGTATAAAATCCTCTTTCATCAGACACATACTCTCCAATAGCTGAAAGAAGCAAAGTTCTAGGTGAGACAGGAGGGGAGGATGTGGTTTGCGAATTACTTAGATGGCATTGACACCTGAGGCTTCATTTAAAATCTGTTCTCTCCCTTCACCCTCCACCTTCAATGTGTGCATTTACATAAAAAGATGATGGTAATATCAATCCAAAGAGTCTAAATTTTCTAATTCTTATATCTTCTGCTGCTTGTTAAGTTCCACTGTGTACTAACGTTGAAAATGTTTTGTTTTTAAGGTGGCCCTGAGCCCTACATTGAAATATTTGAACAACCCAGGCAAAGGGGCATGCGTTTCAGATACAAATGTGAGGGAAGATCAGCAGGCAGCATTCCAGGAGAACACAGTACTGAAAACAATAAGACGTTCCCTTCCATACAGGTAAATACAGCTTTTATCCGTGAATTACCATTGCCCAGATTAACACTGTGCTGTTAGCACATTAGCTATGTGTTGGACTCGGTGTAGTAAATAAAATAGTTTTCTTTTCATGTTCTGTTATTCTGTCCTTGGCATACAGATGTAGTTGCAACAGAGTGGAAAAAGAGTTCCTTGCTCCTAGCCATTAAAAGATTTTGTTTCAAATTTGCAAGAGGAGGAGACGAGGGCGTAGAGGTAGTTAACAAAGCACTGGTAGAGAGGGAACTCGGTGAAGTTACACATTATCAGGGAACCATTCGTTATTAGCTTTTTCTGTACACACTTTTGTTCCAGTTTCTTAGCTATGTGACTTGGGGTTTGTTTTTACTATTTGGACTGCAGTATGAATTTTGGGAGAGCTCTGAAGGAATTTGTGTACAAAATTTGAAAAGGCTTTGAAAAGCTGCTGGGCGCAACATGAAAGAAGGCACTTTGTACAACCGAGCAAAGTAAGAAAGTGACTTGCAGCCAGTGATTTGGTGATTAGGCTCCTCAAAAGAAACTACCATGAAGTATGTGAAGTCAGAAGGGGATACAGAATTTAAAAATGAGCTGAGAAAGGGGAATTATGTGGTCAGAGCACCTGCAATGAAGACGAGTTGGGTGGTTGCATTATGGATAGGTTGGGAAATCCAGAATGAAAGGATTCAGAGTAGCCTTAGCAGGTACGATCAAAGCAGGGACAAAGATACAGACAGTAGAGGTGGAATGGATGGAAGCACTTTGGCAGTAGCTTTCATATGTGGGACAAAGGAATATGTCAGAGACCCTAGACATGTAGGGTAAGGGAGAAGAATTTCTGGTCTCCTATTTGAAGTTTAGTTGCTAATGTTTCCTTGAACTCTTTCAATTTGGAAAAAACTTTCAGAGATGAGATTAGAAGAGAAAGCTCAAATACAAATGGGAAGTTAAGCGGACTTGCTATCTTGAAGTACACTACAGTGCCTAGGAACAGAAGCTGTGTATCTGTGTTTGCAGTGTGTGCAAGTATAAAAAAAAAAAAAAAAGTACAGCCGAAGATGGAGTCTCTGGAATCACAGCAGAAAAAGAACAGATACAGAGGACATGAAATCTGAAAAATATGAGATGTGTTAGGCTGAGGCATAAAAGCTCTTTAAGAAGAGGGAGAGTCTGAGAAAGGTAGTATTGGTAGTCATGTGTTGAGCAGCAGAGTGAGCCTCTACTACCCAAAGCAACTGTGGAAGCTGGTCTAGCCATGAAGCCAGAATTACTAAGGGAAAAAGCAAAGAAGGTTCAGCCCTTGACTATCACAGTGTCAGATTTGGTTAAGGAATGCAGGAAATGGAAATCTTGCCAGACTTTTTTTTTTTTTTCTTCCCCCCGCAGCGCTCTACCAATTGAACAAGGAACTACATAGGCAGTTGGCAAAAGTAAATACTTTCACAGCCTCTCAGCCTAAGGCTGTGTCAGGGCACAAGTTGAACAGGCAGTATAAGCCCTTGATACCTCTTAGCCAGGACTGTGCTGCCCATGAAGGCCAGCCAGAACCCAAAGGGAAGATGGGACATGGGTAGGTGACCGTGCAATCCTGGCAAAGTTTGTTCTTTTTTAAAGGTGACTGTTGATGACAGAGCTGATTGTTACTGATAGCAGGTGATTTCGAGGTGAATTCCTGCCTCCCTGAAGCCCATAGGAGGCTTTAGTGCTGATTAGCTGCTAGGGGAGTCCCCTCTAGAAATGGAAACATCAATGAGGATGAGAACAGAGAGGCCAGGAAGACATTAAATTTCGTGGTGTGGTTATGATGAAGAACATCAAGGAGGAACTGGAGAATCAGAACGGGCTACATCAGGCTTCAAGTTCAAGGGACTGGGTTTGAAATGAGGGAGAAATGATGTAATAGTTGAAGAAGGTGAAGGAGTGGTGGCATTTTTATTTTAAGAGTAAAAAGTAATGGTTGCTTGTATGAAGGCCAAGAAAGGAGCCAAACTGGAGACTGAAGAAGCTAACAGATGATGGAAGCTAGAAGAGTACAGGTCAAGTCAAAGGTTTGAGATGTTGGCCGAAAAGGATATATGATGGATCCTTGGGGTCTCAGGAGGAGGAAAGAAAGGGCTGCAGGAGGAGAGGAACAGTTAGTTATAGGGCAGGAGAAGTGGAGGAGGAGAGCTCGCCTCCACACAAATGGGTGCCTGAGCGAGTCTTGTATTTGCTTTCAAGTTGTTATGCTTCAAACAATTTAGGCCAAACTGTTTTTTGTTTGGGTTTTTTGGGGGTTGTTTTTTTTTTGTTTGTTTGTTTGTTTTGTACACTCACCCACACAACCCTTGGTGACTTCACTGGTAGCTGTCAGCATAAGGGAAGACTTTTATGCACCTGAGAAATGTGTGCTGAATTAGGCTGATGACTGCTGTGAAGGCTCTAGTAGGAGCTTGAGAATTTGGTACCCCCCTTCCTGAATGTAAGATTGAATATTCACTGGAGAATTAATAAAAAAAAAAAAAAAAAAAAAAAAAAAAAAAACTTCATAGGGGATTATGTCGTGCTGTATCTGTTAAGATCCTCTTTTACTACTTGGTGTTCCATGCACAGGTAATATCTTTATCCCTGAAGCTTTAGGAGTTTTTTCCTAAGATCTTTGGAGCTGGACCTGTCCTTCAATAAACATTTGCATGTGGTCACCTACATAGAATTTTGCGTCTTTCATTGTAAGGCTAGGTATGGTAATGAAGCATGTCCTGTTACGTTTAGTCTTAAAGCATTACAAGCTGGTTTAAGTCTAAGCTTCTGTATTACCTCTGGTCTTTTGAACAGGGATGAATTCAACTCATATAAAAAGGCCTGGTAAGATGGTGAAGCAATAGATCTCCACCCTCAAAAAAAAAACAAAACCCAAAAAACAAAAAACAAAACCACCAAAACAAAAGAGGGAAAGAAAAAAAACCCCAAAGATTCTTTAGAGCCTTACAGACTTCCTTCCCATTCTTGCAGTAGGGTAGTTTAAGAGAACTGAATGGATTGAATGTCAAATACTGGCACTAGCAAACTTTTATCATTACAAATAACCAGCTGCTTTGGCAAAACTAGCAGGTGAAGTATGTTGGTTTACTTTGTGAAATAGATGAGATATGCTTTTGAAAAAAATTTTCACTTTTCAAATATTTTGCCAAAAAGTTGGGGTTTTGGTGTAAAATGAACAGAACTAAAATGGAATGAACAAAACTCCTGAATAGTCCTGGCTTTTACAAAGCAATAATGCCATTTTCTTAGCTGTGGTGTTTCTCCCATAGAGTATTTTAGGATAAAATGTATTTTCTGTTACATGTGGGGACTTTACTAGCCCTGATATCTAACATCTAGAAAATATCTCACATTTTTTGTAGATTCTGAACTATTTTGGAAAAGTCAAAATAAGAACTACATTGGTAACAAAGAATGAACCCTACAAGCCACATCCTCATGATCTGGTGGGAAAAGACTGCAGAGATGGCTACTATGAAGCAGAGTTTGGGCCAGAACGGCGAGTCCTGTCGTGAGTAATGGTGTTGCTTGGGTGTTTGATTCATTATGCAAGTGATTTTCTAATCTTATGTTTTAAAACTCTGACTAGTGATTAAAAGAGCAATTAGTATGCTGTGTTTGCTGAAGTTTACCAATCCATCTCAGAGAGAGGACAACTTCTCTTTGAAGTATTTCCTCCTTTTTCAATACTGCACACACTTATCTTTGGTCCTATTCTTTTCCTATCACCCTTTTCTCTCCTTCATTTGTTCTCCCAAAGTCTGTCTCCTTTTCCTTTTTCCCACTTGTTCAGTAACACTTCTTACTCTTGAGCATGACTCTCTCTCCTGGATGTGAAAATGATGAGTAATGGAATGTGTAACAACATCATTAGAATTAGTACTTCACGGTGATTAGGGAAGTGCACGTCTTCCATGGGAATTCTATTTGGATTTTCTGGAAACTGGTGGAGAAAGTTTGTACTGGCTGAGTATCACATCCTTTAGAAGATAATGGTTGTGACATGTCCAGAAACGTGTTGGTAGCTGTCACTGTTGTTGCTGTTTGTTTGGGTTGGGGGGGCGTGTTGAGTAAAAATACAGATTCTGCTCAGGCCCAGCTCTGTAGAGCAAGCATGCCAGGGAAGGATCTACTTGTGGATGCAGTAAGGAAAGTTCAGGCTGTGTGCGAGATGTGTTTCTTAGTGCTGTTCAGAGAGATATTAAGAATATCTAAAATACAGTTGTATTTGATGGCATTTCCTGTAAGTTCACCAAGTCTTACGTAATAAAGTAAAAGCAGAGTAAACTGCAACAAATGTTGAGTGATGATTGCCGGAGAGGGGAATTTAGAATTGATAAGCTGTTTGTGGTTGACAGTTTGCAATGTAGTAAATTTGGAAGTAGGCTATTGCTTTGGGGTAAACATAACTGAGCTGGGAAGAAAATAAGGTAAATATTTCAGTGTATAAGTAGCTCTTACACACTGCTCTCAGGCTGATGGGATTCTGTTGATGTTAGTGAAATTACTCCACGTTTACGTGGGTTTAGTCAGTAGAACACTATTAAAGGAGAGAACTGAAGACACAGTCTGTTTGAAGACGATGATTGTCTGATGGTGAAATACACAGTTGTAATAGTGGAGATGCTTCTTCAACATACAGCCTAGGCTCAAGTGATCATGAATGTGGTGCAGCATATTCAGGTGGCACGTAGCATGTTGACTGTACTGCCTTTTGCTGTTAGAGATGCTAACAAATTTATTAAATTTTTTTTTTTTAGCTCTGTTCACAATGCTGTCCTAATTGGCAAATGGTAGAAAAGGATTAGTAAATGTGATTTGTATAACTTTTCCGCCACTGTTAATACCTCTCTGGAAAGGTAGGGCTGTCCCTTCAGGCACTTGCCTTCCATCTTGATTGTCGTAACCTCATCCTCGTCGGCCTTCCTGCAAATGGAGTTCCTCTTCACCTTGTCTAAAAGGCAGCTGCAAATACCTTAAACTGTTAAGGGACCTTGCACCTTCCTCTGACCATCCATTCACCAGCTTCCCCTTTGTCTTCTCAAATGAAGCTTCCGCACCTAAGGTCAAAGGATGTCTGCTGTTCCAGCCCATCCTACTTCCTGCTCTCAGCTCTCTGCCTTCTGATCCGAAGCAAAAAAAAGCCTGATTGCTTAACACCTTTTCTGGTTATGTATTACGTTCACTGGCTGCAGGAAGACACTGATGATTGTTTTTCCTCTTGGCGTTTTGTTGCACAAGGTTAAGCGTGTAAGCACACGGCAGGCCTGTGGAGAGGCCATTACAGGATGCAATGCCAAAAAGCATTGGGATGCTCTGCAAATATTTATTTGCAAATTTTGATTGCATCAAATCCTGTTCTTTGACATAATGCATTTCACTTAAGGCACTTGTGATTGTTTGCTATATCTGTCAATTCTTCTCAATATCGTTAGGTTATAAGCCTCTCAGTTTTTAACAAAATAGGAAGTGGGCTACTTTCACTTTACCAATAATATGAAACTGTAAGCTTCAGTTGAGCTTGACATGGGAGATCGTGATGGGAGGAGGCTCGAAACATTCTCTTTGAAATGTTTCCAGCATCGGTACACTCTTTCCCCACCTCCCCCCCCCTCCCCCCCAATCATTGGGTGGTTTAAGATGAAAGAACAGTATGATCTATAATTGGATCTGGATGTTTAAAGTAATTTTCCTTTTTGTGGCTAGTGATTCAGTCTTCACATTCTTCTCTTCGAGTCCATGTTAGAGAAAAGCATCATGCAATACTAGTGAGCAGGAGAGGTCCTCTCTTGGTAGTGGTTCTGGCTGTTTACTCTTGCTAAGCATCCCAAATGGCGCAAAAATCCAATTTTACTTTTTTTTTTTTCTGCAGAAGTGGAATTATTAATCCCAGATTTTGGGCTGGTCTAAGTAATTACTTTGCTTTCTGCTTATTTAAAGTTCCCCATGTAGTCCCAGTTGAACAAAGTGTTTTGTTCTGCCTGTGGTATAATGATCTTTGTACTGCTGCCTAAACTTGATCAGGGCCCTCCCTGGCCAAAACATGAAGGCAAAAGTATGAATGTCGGAGCCTGTGTGACTGCCTCTATACTCAGATTTTTACTTCCTAGTTTGCTATCTCTCTACATGGATGATATCATAGTTTTTAAAAGTGTTTTTCTTCTTTTTTTTCTTCTGTCTTCCTACTTCTCCCTCTCTCTTCTCGTTATCTTGCTTGCTTCCTGTCAGCTAGCATTGATGTGAAACCCCACAGCCTTGCTGGGGTTCTCGACAGTTTCTCCTCTGATCTGGCCTTTAGACACTTTCACTGTGACAGCGCATGTTTAAGAAAATGTTTATAATCTGAGAATTACAGGGCGCTTAAAAGCCTAGTTTCTGTCCATGAGAGGCTTTGTTCATAGTGGTTGAAAGGTGCAGAGTAATGGCTGTCAGTCCTTGCACAGCTAGATAAAGCTTTTGTTCAAGGCCAGTTCTACACAGGTACTTGCTTGGTAACTTACGGTGGATGGCTGGAGAGCCTGGGACTGCCAGATGGCCGTAATACGGAACCAAGCATGTTCGTGGACTTGAAGCGTGCTTCAGACTGAATCTGCAGAATACAGTGGGTGTTCGGGGGGGACGGAAATGAATATGTGCTGTGATCAAGCCCTAAAAAAAGTACTACCTACAAGACAAGATAGAAACAGGATTGCTCATCAAGGTGCAGCGCAAATCTTGAATGTCAGTAGCCACATTATGTAGCCAGTGTGCTTTATTGAATTATGAGATGCTAGTGCCTTGTATTTTCTTGTAGGTCACTGTATCAAGTTCAGGTTCAAAAGGAAGCTTATGCATTTCTCCAGTGAATAAAGGTTCTGGAAGTAGACCAGATGGCAGAGGATTTGGGAACCTCTGAACAGAGCGCATTGGGCACAGGCAAGGGAGCTTAAGGAAATTAAACTTAACATTTTGCTAGGATAGTCTTGTTCAGAGCAGGGAAATGTGGAACTGTTCTTAAGAGCGTTGGCAGGAACAAGGAGTATCTTTAGGTGCATTAAGGTGGTTTTTTAGGCATAGCTAAGGCACAGAATGTTTGTGGAGTTTCAAAGGAAGGGGAAATAGCTGGTACTTCTGGAGAAGGATGCCTGCTGGCATGACCTCTCTTCTGAGCTTAGTGTAACATCATGAAACACGGATTTTTTTTTTTTATTTTTTTTACTTCCTGCTTTACATCCACTCAGCTTTGATGATGTCATGGTTTTTCCATGTGGGAAAGAGTCAGCTCGCTTGGGACTCCCCCCACCTCCTGCATCAGGGTGACCTGCACTTTTATGCAAATAAGGAAGAGCTGCAGCTCTTCAGAACTTTTCCATAACTGCGTGAGATTTAAAAACCTGTTTAGACTTGTTTCAAAAAAACCTTTAAAAAAGTGTTTGAAATTTACATTCCCTGATAAAAGCAGGAGAGCAAACCCTTAACTAATGCAAATCAGCAGGTTTATTGATAACAAAAATAATTGTCACTTTAAGTTACCTGAGATTGAGTATTTAACTATTTAATTACTGTAGGTTTACTGAGGAGTAACAATTTTTAATATAGAAATAGATATTGTTAATAACGAATAGAAATTCTTTAGAATTTCATTTCAGTATTTTTCATCTCTGTTTCTGCTCTTATTTTAGAAAAAAATGCATCCCTTTTCATCCTTCTCAAAATAAGCTCTTTTTTTTTCATTTCTTAAACTGTATGTTATCACACCAACATCAAATAATTTATTTAATATTCTACACTGAAGATTTTATTAATTGCTGAAATCCTGCCACATGTGCTTCAGTTTCCAGAATTTGGGCATTCAGTGTGTGAAGAAGAAAGACCTGAAGGAATCAATTTCTTTACGAATCTCAAAGAAGATTAACCCTTTCAATGGTGAGTAGAACTCAGCTGGTTCATTTTGCAGGGTGGTAGGGTTTTGTTTGCCCTGCCTTTGCTTTTGTGGTGGAGCTTTATCTTCTTTTTTTGAGAAACACTCTTCCCCTTCTGTGTCCCTCCTAGTCTTTCCTCACTCTCATCACATGACGAATCTATTTGGATAGTTGCCCCTTTTATTTTATTTTTTTTTTTATCCCCAGCAGCAATGTGAGTTGCTGCTTGGACAGAAGCAATAGGATAGCAGCAGAAACCTTCCCTGGAAACTACAAGTTTCCCTACAAACCTTCCCTACAAGTACCTCGGGAATCGGATTCCCCAGTTTTGGCAGCTATGAGGATGAAAGACTGAATTAGCATAACTCTGCAACAACTTAAACCAATTTAAGTCTAGCTTGCCACCAACCCGTCTCGTCTCTTGTTGCAGCACTGGTGTTTGTGACCCCTCAGCCAGCCAGTTCAGGGAGCTGATGGACTCCTTGAATCATAGAATCATTTAGGTTGGAAAAGACCTTTAAGGTCATCGAGTCCAACTGTTAACCTGACGCTGCCAAGTCTACCACTAAACCATCTCCCTAAGTGCCACATCTACGTGTCTTTTAAAGACCTCCAGGGATGGGGACTCAACCCCTTCCCTGGGCAGCCTGTTCCAGCTGCCCCTCACTTGATTTTACAGCACGGGAGCTGGTACAGGCACTCAAGAAGTCCACAGCAGTATTGGTCTCAGTCAAGTCCAAGGCAAGTTGTGCTGCTACGGAACCACACCTGTAAGGGCCTACACACAGGCTGCAGTTTTACATGACAGCAGATCTGTGGGCTGCTCTCAGAAAGAGTCATTCTGCTCTTCCCTCCATCCCTGGTCACACACTCCTACCACTTTCCTCACACCAGATACAGAGGCCGCATGGCTACATGGTGAACGGACTCAGCAAGTTGCTCCAATGGAAACCTAACTTTCAAAAAAAAAAAAAAAAAAAAAAAAAAAAAGTGGTTTCCCCTCAGATCAACTTGCTAAAGCAATTAATCTCACAGCCACATAATTGCTAAGTTCAACGCACAGAGGGAGTGGGGAGCACACAGTAAATTGTAGGGACCAACACTTGCAGCATGCAGGCACAACTGGGAGGGAATTAGATGAAAAGCATAAATACCCCCAATCTATTAGCTAAGCATTATGAATGTAGTCATGTATTTGCTTAAGTGTGGCAAGAGCTTGGATATTTTCCAAATACTTTTTTTTTTTTTTAATACCCACAGAAGCCTTGCTAAAGCCAGGTAAGACCCTTCTTAGAGAGTCAAGAGCTAGATTTCTAGCTAGCTTTAAAGTACATGTCCCTGAATTAGGAAAAAAAAGAAGCATGTTGAACTTATCTAAAACATTTCTCATTCTGTAATATCTTTCTTAATTTTAGAACAGCCATTTGGAGTCAGGCTGATGGTCCTAATGGCCCATCTAAACAATTATCCTGGTTCTGATAATATATGCACGCAATAGCATCTGGTTTTGCATTTTAGTCCATCAGCACAGTTTAAACAGTTTAAGTGTTTTAATTATGTTACCTTGACTCAGCCAGCTCTGCCTTGATTTCAAACAAAAAAGGGGAACGCTTCTGTTCAGCCCTCTTGGCTTTCTTTTACTCCATAAATAAAAAACGAGTTGATGTTTTCTTTTGATGTCGTGCAGTAAAAGAACGTGATAAAATGCCTTTTTGTACGTCTATTTCAACAAAGAAACTTTAGCAACCACGTAGCTCTGTTCCTACTGCTGCTGAGCATAGTAGTGAAGAAACGTTTTAACAAAAATCGTTCGACAGCAGATTTTTAGTGGTTGGCACGTAACTCCAAATTCACTAATCATTTTTGGGCAATTACAGCAGGTTGCGCTCGGTAGCATCAGGGCAGATCCTGGGCTGCTTTCCACCAGTCCAGCAGCAGAGGAGACCACCGCCCTGCCCTGGCAGCCTGGGAGAGCCTTGCGTGGGTGACGCGCAGGGCAGCAACCCTGCTCTCGGCAGGGCTTGTGCTGAGAAGGGGCCGCTGGCAATCCCCAGCCTGCGTAATTGCCTTTCGGCACTTGTTAACGTGTCAGCACAAAGCAGAGCCGCTTGAGAATGGCCTCCAGCTGCTCCAGGGCAGTCCCATGCTAAGTAGAGCCCAGAAGGGCATAGGACCAAGGCCTAATAAAACAGGATTAGTGACAGAAATATTTTTATATGTGTACTTAGTTGATCAAAACAGGGTTTTGTTAGAAGCAGTCACTGCAATGTTTGCTGCTTGATAAGATTGAAAGTTTTATGGATGGATTTAGTTTGTTTTTCAAGGTCAGAAGAGTATCGCTACATTCTCCAAGATCGCACAGGCTGTATTGTATCCATCCTGCATTGTGCTTTACGTGTCTTCAGAAAGGTGTCAGACTTTTCTATTTAGGATGGTTTGGAGTTAGGTGCATCCTCTAAGCAGGTCCAAGTTAGTGTTACTCATTTCTTGTGTGAACATCATGAAAGAAACTTCATGGAGCTGAAAACTAGCCTTCAGGGTGTTTGTGAGTTGGTTGGGTTTTCTTTTTCTTTCCCACCTTTGGGAACAGTGAAACAGTCCTTGTCCTGCGTCTCCTTTCAGGCCAGAGGTTCAGTATTGACCCTATTAACAGATGCAAAATGCCTCCAGCTTGCCAGCATATGTATTACTTGTCTTGTCAGTAAGGAATGAAGTAATAGCAAGGCGTGGGTCCACAAAATTGCATTCTAGACTTCCTTGTGTAAAGGGGGCATCATCCTCCAATGAAGCCCAGGTGCCACAGACAACTGGGATGGCAAAGGGAGAGTTGAGCACTAACACAAATTCTCTGGTGGTGTCATCCCTCCTCCATGCCTTCCAGCGTATGGTATGGATGCATGCTGAATAAGGGTCATAATTGGCAACAGTAGGAAGTTGCTTGCTCAAGATGTATGGGTTTTAAGATCGTTTTCTCCAGCACTCTTGCCTGTACTGTTGGAGCAACTGCAGTCTACCTCTGAACTCCTGAATGATTAGAAGTTGGTGTTTGCAGACCATGCCATGTGCCTAGCTGGAGCTGTCTGCGTCTGAGTCATTCTGCAAGTGTACCTGTAAGGCTGTTTCACTATACGTTCCCCACTATTACTATTAGCTGGCAGCATTTATCCCTTGTGTTGTGGTTTAACCCCAGCCAGCAGCTAGCTGCTCGCTCACTCCTCTCCCTTCTTGGTGGGATAGGGAGGAGAATCGGAGTGGGTGGGAAGGTAAAACTCATGGGTTGAGATAAGTTTAATAACTGAAATAAAATATAATAATGATAATTTTAATGAAAAAGAAGAAAACAAAAAGAGAGAGAAATAAAACCCAAGAAAGATAAGTGATGCACGCTGCAATTGCTCACCCCCCACTGACCGATGCCCAGCCAGTCCCTGAGTAGTGATTGGCCCCACCCGGCCAACTCTTCCCAGTTTATATACTAAGCATGACCTCCTCTGCTATGGAATATCCCTTTGCTAGTTTGTGTCAGCTGTCCTGGCTGTCTCACCTCCCAGCTTCTTGTGTATGTCCTCACTGGCAGAGCATGGGAAACTGAAAAGTCCTTGACTTAGCATAAGCCCTACCTAGCAACAACTAAAACATCCGTGTGTTATCAACATTCTTCTCCTACTAAATCGAAAACACAGCACTGTACCAGCTACTAGGAAGAAAATTAACTCTATCCCAGCTGAAACCAGGACACCTTGTTAAGTTCAGTACAGGCTGTACAAATTGTGTGCATTCACTTGGATTCAAGTCAGATGACTTGCACTCAGGTTGCTCCTCTTGCGTTGGCCTCGTTTGAGAGAGAATCGCTGTTTCCACACCGTCACCAGATGTGTTCATGATCTGTTGCGTTCACAAGGTACATCCCATATATTTTTGTCCTTTAATAAGCTAAACAATTCTAGAAATCTGTCTCATCTCTCATCCCTGAGCACGTCAGGGGAATGGTGCGCAGTGGCAGCCTAACGTGTAAGTAGGACTCCTTGGCATGATGATGATATAAATAGCACAGCATCGAAGGAGCAGAGTTACTCCTCCAGTGGAGCTGGTCCACGTCTGCTTTCTAGGGTGTTTATTTTCTTTTAGTAGCTGTTGAGTTGTGCCATATCCTTGTCTTCCCATGTACTGTCTGATGTACAGCCAACTCAAATTAAAAGAAGAGCCAGTCTTCAGTTAAGAGCTTTTGTGGGTGGGTGTGACTTGACATAGAGACAACAATTGAGTTAATAACAGCTCAAGTTAATTATCGATGAGAAAAAGCCCTCAGTGTGTTCTTTAAATTTAGGAGAAAACTGTACTTGGCACAGTATTACAGAGGACTAACCTTTTTCTAGCCAAAGGGATGACAGCATGAAAACCTTAGACTTGTCTTAGAGTGAGAAACCCAGAGCATCGTCCCATTTCAGGCAGTTGATCAATAGGGTACAAATAGGCTTTCCCTGGAGCTTGACATACACTTAAGGTTCCTGTTCCTTTGTAATTGCTCTTGCTAATAAGCATTTAATTAATTTTTAGGTTCTCCCCTGCACCCCACTACTAGCTCAGCTCCGTTTGCCTCCGCAGTCTTTCCTTTGCCGTTTCCCCTTTCTGCCCGCGAGCAGCTGACCCCGCGTTGGCTTCGCGCTCGTCACAGTCTCCACGACACCTCCCCGGCCCCCCCCGCACGCCTCCGCCATGCGCCCGGGTTCGTCCCCACACCAGTCACGCTCGCTTCCTGCCCACGCGCGCCGTCACCCTCTCCGCAGCTTCCCTTGCCAGCCCCTGCACGGCCGTGCTCGTAAGACCCCCTCTTCTCCCACGCCACTTGCCCCTGTTGGCCGAGTTTGGGATCCCCCCTCCCCCACTCCAGCCCCCTTGCTGCAGGGGAGTGCTTGCTTTTTGGGGGGGGGGCTTGTAGGGCCATGGATTACATGAGCAAATAAGCAAAGTATTAGGAACCAAAAGAAGGCTCTCGGCGAGAAT